AGCTTATATAGTTTTAATTAATTACCTAATTACCCTGAATTGTAGGGTTAGTTGTCAAATTTTTTTTTTCATAAGAAATTCAATTAATAATTTGAGATGATAATTGATAACTGCTGAGTAGCATATATAAATAACTATAAATATAATATTGTCGAATTAATAATATTTTTATCAAACTGAATACAACTAAGTACTAACAATGCAATATTTTTAATACAACTTAATAGTTTATTAATTCTAATAAATATATAGTTGTAACAACATATTGTTATTAAAATGAAAAATTATAGTTTGAAAATGTTAACAATATTGCGGATTATTAATTTTACTAGTAGTTTTTCTTTCGGTATACACTATACATATTAACTATAATGCTATATAATTTAACAATTTATAAAACAGAATTATGAGTGTGTGAAAAAAACTCATGAAAAGTGCGTTTATACTTTATTAGCCCAGTCTCCCACTCTCCCGTACATTTTCTTATTTACAAAAATAAAACAATTAACAATAATTAACAAAATATAGGTAAAGCAAAGCAATTTTCAACATTTTTAAATTAATTTATATAAAAATTGTGCCATCATTATTATTATCACATACGGCAATAATTGTAGGTACCTATATTATGTACTAACATTGATGAAATATGACGGTCGAGTCTGAGTTTTTAGTATATCTATATAGCTATAATAGCTGTGTTATACCTACTCAGTAATAGGTATTTTTTTTTTAGTTTATATAACCTTTTAGGTTGATTTGACCAAGTCTAAACTCTATTCATTTTAAATATATACTGGTATGAGTATTTTTTTAATGTGTATTTATTTCCCGTTACCTTCTGGGGATAGTGGTCTCTCTTTTCTGTAATCTGTAGTCTGTAGTCTGTACGCAGTCGCATGTCTACTGCCTAGAGAGAGATAGAGGCTGACCGACCGTGGACGGGTTCGAACAGATGATGATGATATGCGTTGACACTGTGGCTTTATTCCACTCGACTACTCCGTATATTTAATAGGTATACGATTAAAAAAGTCTTTTTTTCTTTTAGTTACTAGTGGTTTATTCATATTATGCCATACCATACAACTTTAAACAATTTATATTTTCATTAATCATAATAATATATTATTTTCAATATTCATTTTAATAATTTATATAGTGTTTTAGAAGACATTATTTTAACTTTTGATAATATATAGGTATTATTAATGTGCTTAACGTAAAAATATTTAATATTCATGAACAAAAAATTGTTATAGGTATAATAGCAATATAGCTTCTTTATAATTAGTTTATTTAGAATCTATATAATTATATTTAATAATCCAAAACTATTAATAAATAATCATATTATACACACTGACGTTGATTATAACCTTGATTATTATATTTTGTTAGATTTAAATTTTTTAACAAGCATACACATTTTAAATCACATTTTTATTATGATTTATATAAAAAATTACTCCAGTCGTTCGATCGAAAATTTTCTAATAATACCATAGTAAACAAGTCCATCTTTAGTATCTTGAATGAAATTACCTCTTAAAGTAGGTATAAATGGAAAATTTTGAAATACTTTTATAGACAAAAATGTATTTTTTATAGCGAATAATTATTCAACTATTTATCTATGACGTCTTACAAGTAACAAGTGTTTGAAAATCACTTAGATGATGAAACAATTGTTAATTACGATTTTTTAACATTCTTTTATCTCATATATTCTCAATTAGTTGTGCGTATAATAATTACTATCAATTATAATATATAGCCAGATATAGGCAACAGTTATACCAGTAAATCACATTGAATATTCAATACATTAGCATAATATAATACATAGTCCGGTAATCACAGATTATTATTGAATTTAAAATTACCTACCATTTATTAATCTATACTAAATGAAAGTGTTGCATTAAAATATTTAATATAGCATAATAATATGACATAATAATAAATAGTTACTGAACTACTGAAGGTTATTAATATTATTAAATAAATATTGTTATCTTGAACCATTAAATTTCTAAAAATGTAATACTGGAGTTCGTGTGGCATAATTATTATTAACCGTATGGGTTAGGGTTATGAGTATGAAATATTGAAAAATATATTTTTTTTTAATTTTCTTTTAAATTGTGATTTTTGGTATGTTCCATAAAATCATCACTAGATTGTCATATGATTTTATACATGATTAGTGATTATCAATATTTAATTACTAATCATGATATGAAGAAGATATTATAATTTATTATATTAATTTTCAGGACATTTCAGAACCCTAGGGCCAAGACTACGGGTACCTATGGCTTATATTACTTAGGTAACTATTTAATCTCTGACAACTAGCAAGTGTTGGTGTTTTTCGTATTACTGATTCTTATATTATCCATTTATTTATTTTTTTTTTATTAGACTTTCAATTATAAATGTCTGCTTATAGGGCCATTAACATTACTTTTGTATATACATTTACATTTTAATAATAACTTCTTCAATAAAAAATTGAGAGAATAATAAAAATAAACTTATCTATAAACATTTGAACTATACAAATTTGGTTGGAGGTTTCTACCCCCCAATATTTTCACGAAATAGCTATTGAAATTGAAATTGAAATAGTTATTATTTGTTGTAATTTTTTTTTTAAATAATATTTATTATAATTCTAAACCATAATAATATATACCTACCTATATTTAGTTAAATATTTATTTGAAATTTTAATCATTCTGATGCTGGTTAATGAAATATAATACCATGGGTAAATTATACATTCTAAAATTTTAATTTTCAAGCTAAGAATTTAAAAAAGATAGTTGTCTAATATGTAGTTTACAGAACGAATATACATCTAAGTAGTAGATGATATACTAAATAGTAAATACTAATATTATAAAGTAATAATTAATAAGTTAAGTTTGAGTATGAGGATTCTAAATTCGAAATATTTCACTTGAAATAACTTCACTATTCTTTAAATGTTTCTATACAATTATGAAAAATATAATATTTATATATTTTTAAACGTGCTCAGTTATATATGATTAGAAATGATTATTTATAACACACAGAAAAGATCGATAATGATTGACTTATCATCCAAGGTTTACGAATTACTATGTTAATGGTTATAAATTAAGTATAAATGGTATTATATTATCGGTTAATTTATCAATTATCAGTTGGGTCCCAATTAGCTATTATTTATTCATTATTTATCATTATTTATTCGATACAATAATCTAACTTTTAAAAATGTTCTCTTTCCGAAGGTTTATGACTATAAACTATTAGATGTAGTAAACAACTTTTTATTTTTCACTTAAATGACAAAACAATAAAATGTATGACATTTTAAAACCTCAATGATTGTTGTATTACTAAAGTTGTTAGGGTTGCCATATTATATTTTACATAAGCCGGCCGGTGGCAAAAATGTTTAGTATAATTTTTAAAGGAAAAATCTTACCACTCTTCTAGTTTTAACATCATATTTTTTTCATAAATGTCAATACCACACATAATAATCAGGCACTCAGGCTGGTCAGCACTCTACGCTTTCAAACATACGTTTAAGGGGTAAACCTAAATCGATATTACACCTTGGAGGCTTGGAATGTATAACCAACAAAATTATTAATTAAAAATAAGTGAAAACAAACATTTTCGTGAGGGAACAAAAAAACAATGATACGTTATTACATTCATTAATTACGTCAATAATTATTGTCATCACCAGACAATAAGACGGGAAAATAATGTTTAAATATAAATCAGTCAATCAAGTAATCAACATTGTTATTTGATAATTTATCAAAACAATATTGTTTTTCTACTACCTATAAGTGTTTAATAAAAGATAAAATGACAACATAAATTATTAAAGTTCAATTGCGAAACAAATTGGCCGACGCCGCTAGTCACACCCGGAGAGAATTTTAAAAATTTGGATTTTCAAATAAAAAATAAAATATAAAAATTCCTTCTCTGTTAATTTATAATAAATTTATGTCTACGATTAGGTATGCCCTATATAGTAAATATTAAATACTTATTCTAAGAAACCGTTGTCTGTTGCACTTAATTACTACAAGGTACGGACACGAAAGAACGGTAATACCACGCGTCTATAATAATTATTATTAATACATTTATTTTGGTCACTAATGATATTATTATTAATTTCATTAACTGTGGTACATTATTATGGGCATCTTCGATTTTCGATCAACTCATTATGGGCACCGAGCATATGACGAAAAATTACGCTCTCTGGTGGTTATCGGCATGACAACTAATATTATTATAATATTATGTACGAATAACTATTTTTAAATATTTACTTAAGTATTAGTTATTTTTTTTTACTTTTTTTCATAATTATAAACAAATTTATCACTTCATTTATCTTAAAACATAAATTTAATAAATGGTATTTTAGTTAATACGTTAAATTAGTGAATTAGCTGACATGGATTTATATTACCTATTTAATTTACATTTATTAATTGGTGCCCTTTCAAATTGTATTTTTTTATTTAATTATATTAGTATTTAGTTACCTATATAATTAAGATGAATGATATTATTTTGGAAACTGGGTAATAAAGAAAAATCATTCAATTTACTCAAAAGTGGACATGTGATTAATGTAAAAGAAGTAAAATCGTTCAAAACAAATAGTTTTATTTTTGGCAATGTTATAAGACAAACATCAGTGACTTCTACACCATACAAAGTTAAAATGGAAGTAAATATACTTATTTATTAATGATGCATGAACTTGAACTTAATTCTGTAATTACTAATTATTAACAGCTAGATGAAACAAGAAAAGTAAAGTAGCCAGCTGTGAATGTGCTGCTGGTGAAGGACAACGATGCAAACACATAGGTGCACTTTTCTGTTATATTAATAATGAAGAAACACTGGCTAAAACAGATTTAACACAATCATGGGGACAACCATCAAAAAGAAGTTAAGACATGTATAAAAAAGAAAAAAGGATTTGTGATTTACTCCATGCTAAAAAGCCAAGACTAGATATACCTGATATTAGTATTAAATCAATTATTGAAAATAGTGACTTATTAGCATTGCCATGCTCTTTAAGTTATAATCTTAAAGCTGAATTAAAAACTGAAATAAGTAGAACCTGTGAGGACACATTAAATTCAATCATAGACAGTGTAGAAGAAGAATTAATTTATGACTTAAATAATCCATTTTTAAACATCATAATTTTTAAACAACAGGAACTTAATAATAATTCTTTTTGAATAATTCTTATTCTTATTTCCTTCTTAATGAAAATGAGTTAATATTTTTTAATAATTTTATATATATGACCCAGGAAAAATTAAAATTTGTTTTTAATAAAAGTTTAAATCAGTCAGATCAATTTTGGTTGGATTTATTAGCCGATCGAGAAATGTAAACCGGTACAATGTTGCGATAATACAGAAATTATTTTTATACACACTATATATATATTTATTTATATATTTATATAATATATTTGTTTTTTCGGTTATCACTCATAAGCGTAAATATTAAATTTTAATACAAGATTTCTTCATATTATATTAAGTTCTTTTGAATTTCATTAAATTGCCAACATTTTAAATGACACAGAGCAATATTACGATCATATTATCCCACTATTAGTTGAAATAATTTCAACGGATATGGAAGTTACAAAATATCCCCCTTGACTAATTTTTTGTATATGAGCTCTTATGTATATTTAGTTGCCTATCTTCATTTATCACATAAAGCGTAAGCAAGTGAGATGTATTATTAATTAATAAATTACTTATTACCATTGTTTGTACTATGTACTATAATCAGCATAATTAATGCTATTACCTATACTATGAAGCCATATTTTGTGGAAAGGGTGGGAAGTGAATATAATTTACATAGGCGCAATTAGAGTAAAAAATTTGGGGGGGCTTCAGCCACTCCCATATATTTTTCAATCACTGCCTCTCAGAAACTTTTTTCCACCCTTCACCACCTATAAAAAAAATGCCCTTTATTAAAGTTTTCATCTTTATCAAGTGCGGGCACTCTCATAACGGCCGAGGTTCGAGAATAGAAGCTATAATATAAAATATAGTCGGAATAATATTTTATCACAAACAACTGCGACGCGCTCATAGATCATACTATAGGTACTAGGTACGCGCTATAATATTGTGTTACTAAAATAAAAATAAATAAATGTATTTTATAATTTTTTTTTTCAGTAGACAGTAGTTAGCACATATAATTTTTTTTATTTAGCCATGTAATGATATAAAGTTCTGCATGGTTTTTGTGGGGCTTTAAATGTTTTTTGAGGGGGGTTTAGCCCCTCCAGCCCCCCCCCCCCCTAATTGCGCCTATGAATTAATTTATTCTAAAGAACGATTGTGACCCATTAAATATTTTATTTTACCACACAAATATACCTACTATACTTAGCTTCTTCGCTTCCCTCAGAATCTAAAATCACACATAATTAGTTTTACAGTAGAAGATGAAACAACGCACTCTAGTAATAAGTAGGTATAATTTAAATTATATTTATGAAAAGAAAATGTAAATATAATTGTTTAAAGTTTAAGCATATACTAGATAATATAGGTATTGAATATTTTTGAAGAATTTCCACATACTTATTTATAATGTTGTTATTTTATTGAGAGTATTTAACATATAATATTGAAGTCTTGTTCTTATGGGCTCAAACGTTTTGAATTTATCTATTACTTCTTCAATATTGATTTCTGATGCCATTTTTTGCTCAATAAATATCAACATAGGTAAGTGTATCACAGTGTTTCTTACTTTAGACTTTAGACTGACAATAGACAATTTGTAAAAAGCTCGCTTACACGAACAGCTTGTCATAGGTATAGTTTCGGATGCCGAATAGTGGGAAAGTATTATTGAAGTTGGAAAATGTTGCATTCTGGCCATTTTTTGATAACTAATTCAGCCATGGTGCAATTTTTTTAGTTAATGGCCCTCTAATAGAAGTTGTGCCAGACATATTTTTAATGATCTTAATTTCACACTCAAATGTTCTTTATATATATTATATTATGGTCTTTGATTACAAAAATACAGACCATAAAAACAATAATAATTATTCTATATAAAAATATCTATGTGTTGTAGACTTGTAAACTGTGATAACAGGATTTAATGATAGGTGGTCTATATTTTAAATTGTCAAGCAGATGTTGGGTCGTGACTTAAGGGTCGCCGAATAACTAAAATTAATTTTTTTTATTATATATGTAATTTTTTATACTATTGAAGATATTATTAAAAATTCTTTGGTATGATAAACATAGGCCCGTCACATAAAGCCGCAGACAATGCAGCGACATAGTGCTTACCCTGCATAACATGTGCGCACGCCTATGGACTACCTGAATGGCTATATTATTATCCATCACGATTCATGGTAAGTACCTATAGGCTAGTTTTTTCCAAACTTTTTGTTAATAAATTTAATATTTATTGGATACGCACCCCCTGCTGAAAAAAAAATCAAGTACCTATGCCTAAAATAAATAATATTTTTATTATTATTAATTTTATCATTGAATTTTTATAAAATACATAATAAATAAATAAAATAAATTATAAAAAAATACAAAAATACTGAAATAAGCGTAATCGTAACCGCGACTCGTGACCCATCAAAAAAAATTCTAGACCCAAAATTTAGGAAACGCTGCTATATGCTATATATGGCTTATATTATACTCCTTGACAGAACGACCACACATACCTATATATATATTTCTTTCATTTTATGCCCAAATATAGTATATTATTAGGGACAATGAGTGCCTCACATGTGTAGATTTTGAATACCGAACCGCCGAATAACAAGCGGTTCCAAAGCATGGACTGTTATATTAATATTATATTGGTAAGAGTGTATTATTAGATATTTATAATAATTTATAGCATATATGAGACATGAGTAGGAGGGCTGGTTACTGATTATTTTCATTTTACAACATATCTTGTCTTCATTTATTTATTATAATTTATAACGTTGCTTTTATCCTACGGTTTTGTTTGTTTCGTTATCCTGATAAAATATAAATATATGTAATGCAATATACAAAATGTATAATATACTAACTTACTCACCAGTCACCATACAATTTAAAATAATAGCAATTTACGACAATATAATATTATATATGTAATATGTATATGCAAACAGTAAATAGATAAGTATTAATGTGTTATACCTATGTAGATATGTAGTATGTGGTATGTTCTATGTATATAAATAAAAATATAGTATAATACTATAATATTATATGACTTACGCAGGCACAATTATTACGCGATTGTCGCCGTGAAACAGGCAACGATTGGTGTTTTATATTATTATCGTCTACCAAATGCCGTTACAATGACCATATTTCCTACACGGCTACATTATGTTGTAAAAAAATACTATTATACGTTTTAATAGACAATAACTATCCGACATTATTGACTAGTTATTAAATTGATATGATATTATGTGTACACTCTACAGTTGATGGATTATTACGTACGGTATACCTACATCATTATAAAATTATTGAACGGCTCTGGGAGAGTAATGAGTAATAACTAATGAGCAATGACTAATGTGACAACTGACAGTGTAGGTTATGTATACACGATATTATACGCAATATATTATACAGAGTGTATCTGAAGTATTTAACTACTAAAATAAATATTTGAATATTATGGAACAGTTTCATTTTCAAATCCATAATGGACTAATGCGAATGATGTAATATAAAGAAATATTCGTATATTACAACGTCTAAACTGTATAGATAGGTACTAGACTATAGTATAATATTATTATGATTTATGTTTGTGGACTGTATTATTTTGCATTGCCAAGTTCTGTATTATACTACCTATCATCGAATCTCCTATACATAATTATGTCATCAATACCGTAGATAGGTAGGTACACGTATAATAGGTACGAATTAGAATAAAATCGCTGTATCGAGTAACGATCGGGCCGTGTGTGTGTGACATTTTCAAAACGCACGTGTATTATAAATTTCCATAAAGCTGACAGGAAAATATTAATATATTATAAGATAATATCTGCAGCAGGTAACCTGACCTACTTAAGTGTACAACGAATTATTTTTAAATGAAATAACTAATACGCATTGTACATTGTTGGTACATTATGATGGTAAAAAACTTCGAAGTTCGAATACCACTGTAATATTTTGTGATGAGAATACCTTTACTTGCTACTATTATTTATTATTTTTAAAATTGACAGTGATATTTTTCTATTATTCTTATTAACAAATAATTTATCTTCATTTTTTACGGTTAAAGTAAAACTCAAAATATTTTGTTTAGTATATATTTTGTAGATCTAAACTTAAGTCTGGATCAATGGTTCCTCGTGTCATATTATTATGTAATAGCTACCTATACCTAGTATAAAAACCAAGTACTACAACTTGTGACACATATTCGTTAAAAATGCTGTACTTCTTAAAAATAACTCTTTAGGTTTTCAAAGGCCTGGTATAGGTGGACAAAAATTAAAATTATATAACCAGAGTACAGTTATTTATTTTCGGTACAATAACTATTTACAGTGACTGTTTTACACTCTTCCAAATTAAAATAAAACACTGGCGTCTACTGAAAAAACAACATATCCGTATTTAATACATAGTTTTTTTGCAAACAAACGTCAGTATTAGTCTTTTAGAATTTTAATAAATAAAAATAAAATTTTAGTTTTTTTGTTATGGCTCGTGAAAATTATAACTGATATAATATAGTACTTTTATAACTAATAATATTATGTGCGTAATTGTAGGTATACTGTGGGCTATACAACACTTCTAACAAAAAAAAAATTATAAGTCATCAAATAACTTAGATTTGAAAAACAGTATTTTATACATTCTTAAAGAATTATGAAACTGATGATAAGAATAATAAATCATAGATAATATTTTAATACAATGAAAATAATAGGTAAAGCAAGATTACACGAGTATTGTGACGCGGGCATGGCCTGAGCTATAAATAAGCGTATACAGAGGTACATTTTTTAAAATACGTATTAACTATTAACATATTATTATTAATTTATACGTAAAGACATATACAAACGCACATGGCGCACCTACTTGAGTCTTACTCTATAAAGTGAATTAAACAGAGTCCTGTATCGCACAGGGACTATGAAAAAGCTTACAAACTATGCAATAAA